GACATCAACACCCTATATCAGGTGTGCATAATTATTAGGCAACTTCCTTTCCTTTGGCAAAATGGGTCAAAAGAAGGACTTGACAGGCTCAGAAAAGTCAAAAATAGTGAGATATCTTGCAGAGGGATGCAGCAGTCTTAAAATTGCAAAGCTTCTGAAGCGTGATCATCGAACAATCAAGTGTTTCATTCAAAATAGTCAACAGGGTCGCAAGAAGCGTGTGGACAAACCAAGGCGCAAAATAACTGCCCATGAACTGAGAAAAGTTAAGCGTGCTGCTGCCTAGATGCCACTTGCCACCAGTTTGGCCAAATGTCAGAGCTGCAACATCACTGGAGTGTCCAAAAGCACAAGGTGTGCAATACTCAGAGACATGGCCAAGGTAAGAAAGGCTGAAAGACGACCACCACTGAACAAGACACACAAGCTGAAACGTCAAGCCTGGGCCAAGAAATATCTCAAGACTGATTTTTCTAAGGTTTTATGGACTGATGAAATGAGAGTGAGTCTTGATGGGCCAGATGGATGGGCCCGTGGCTGGATTGGTAAAGGGCAGAGAGCTCCAGTCCAACTCAGACGCTAGCAAGGTGGAGGCGGAGTACTGGTTTGGGCTGGTATCATCAAAGATGAGCTTGTGGGGCCTTTTCGGGTTGAGGATGGAGTCCAGCTCAACTCCCAGTCCAACTGCCAGTTTCTGGAAGACACCTTCTTTAAGCAGTGGTACAGGAAGAAGTCTGCATCCTTCATGAAAAACATGATTTTCATGCAGGACAATGCTCCATCATACGCGTCCAAGTACTCCACAGCGTGGCTGGCAAGAAAGGGTATAAAAGAAGAAAAACTAATGACATGACCTCCTTGTTCACCTGATCTGAACCCCATTGAGAACCTGTGGTCCATCATCAAATGTGAGATTTACGAGGAGGGAAAACAGTACACCTCTCTGAACAGTGTCTGGGAGGCTGTGGTTGCTGCTGCACGCAATGTTGATGGTGAACAGATCAAAACACTGACAGAATCCATGGAAGGCAGGCTTTTGAGTGTCCTTGCAAAGAAAGGTGGCTAAATTGGTCGCTGATTTGTTTTTGTATTGTTTTTGAATGTCAGAAATGTATATTTGTGAATGTGGAGATGTTATATTGGTTTCACTGGTAAAAATAAATAATTGAAATGGGTATATATTTGTTTTTGTTAAGTTGCCTAATAATTATGCACAGTAATAGTCACCTGCACACACAGATATCCCCCTAAAATAGCTACAACTAAAAACAAACTAAAAACTACTTCCAAAAACATTCAGCTTTGATATTAATGAGTTGTTTGGGTTCATTGAGAACATGGTTGTTGTTCAATAATAAAATTATTCCTCAAAAATACAACTTGCCTAATAATTCTGCACTCCCTGTATAAAATACCTTATTTGCTTCATTGAAAGCACCAGCAGTTGCATACTAAACATTGTGCAAAATACAGACTCCCCTAGCTTCTAATGAACTCCCAAAGTCTCCACAGTAATTCAGAATGTGGCTTCCCTCATCAGGCGTCTGCGCTATCACGTTTCAGAAGGAGCAGGGAGCTGTGTGTAATCTCTGACTGAACGGTTACAGTGCAGCATGCTCGTCTCATTCAGGGGAGCCGTTTATAATCATTTAAATTAAAATTAATAATTGAGGTTTAATTGTTTTTTGCTTCCTCTACCAATAATCCTAAGGCATCACTTTAATTCACTATACCCATGTGACTTTAGGGGATAATAACGTTCACTCGTAAAAAGGACTTTAAAAATGTATACATTCATTTTATTTGCTTTTTTCATAAATCTGTTAAACAACTTCAGTCGTGCTCAAATCGATAAAAACTTTAGTCATTTTGAGGATTAGCCAGCTTGATTACTCAAAGTCATTGCTGTAATTTCTGAAAAATACACAAAACATTTTTTTTTTCCAATAACACAACTTTTCTGTCTGGGGCATTTATTATAAATTAGTCTTGGTCATGTTATGGTCATTTTAGCGACAATAGTTTTTGTGTAGCAACATATTTAAAAGTTACCACCGTCTTAGGGCAGGACGATGTGACCTAAAATCAGTATTGCAATATATTGAGGTTTTAGCCTCGATAACGATAGGTGGACGATAACTACAGGTATGTGCAGAAACAAAATCTGTCCACTAGATGAGGCTGTCACATGTATTATGTTGAGTCACATTTTTACATGACTCAAGGTGGTACAGCTTCTTTTCTTCTTTTTAATTAACAAATTTATTGACGTGGAAAAAATTATCTCGATTAGAGTCAGAAATTTTGATGATGATAAATTTTCGATTTTTTTGCCCAGCCCTACATCCTCTTATCACCCCAGTGAACAAAAACGTCCCAATGACTCACACAGTTTTTGATCTTGTAACATCTGCAAAAAATAATAATGCTTTTGGCGATATCAGGGTTTCATTTAGGAGAAAAAAAGTCAAATTTATGATTTTTATTTTTCACCACCAAATTCCTTCATTAGTGGCCCAGGTGAGAAACATGTCTTTAGATCTTGTGCTGTTTGTAGTGAAGTCAAAAGGTCAACCAGTGAATAAAACACAGTTTGACTTTCTTAAGTTTGGTTTATGATTGACGCGTCCGTGAGGTCCGCACGGCTCCGCGCAGCAAAATTGCGTCATTTCAACAACCACGCCCCTCCACCACGCCTCCAAACGGCCCAAAATTTCCGCACCGCACACCTAGGAAATTTCTAACCACGTGGCTGGTCGGACACAGAAAAACATGGCGGACTGGCAAGAACTAGTATGGCAGAGGTTTGTAAATACAGACGTTTGTATGATTCAGCTCTCAGAGATCACCGTGTTCAACATGTTGTTAATAATTCTTGGAGAGAAATAGCTCGCACTGTCGGAAAAGACACGACGCTGTTAAAAAATGCTGGAATGCCATGTTGTAAACAGTCATTTCTACTTCTACTATGGTGTAGTGTTGGATGCATGTCGTAGAGCTCCATGCTGCCCCCTACAGTTTGGGAGAATATTGGCTCACCGCAGAGACAAGCTGCATGAACCATAAACGCTGCAAGTTGTGAAGCGCGTTCCATCCGCAAGCCGCATCACTGCGCGGAAAGTAAATGCGTCAAGCATAAACCAAGCTTTACTGTGTAGAAAACAAAAACAATTAGTATGTTTATGATGATAAATGACCCGCACTTGTACAGCACCTTTCAGAGTCAGAGGACTCCAAAGTGCTTTACACTACAGTGTGTCATTCACCCGTTCACACACACATTCACAAGCTGATGGTGATGAGCTACAGTGTAGCCACAGCTGCCCTGGGTCGCACTGACAGAGGCGAGGCTGCTGAGTACTACCGGTCCCTCCGACCACCACCAGCAGCAGGCAATGGGGGTTAAGTGTCTTGCCCAAGGACACAACAGCAGAATTCTCTGTTCAGAGCCGGGATCAAACCTGCAACCTTCTGATTACTGGACAACCTTTTGAGCTACACTTGCCCCAGCAGTAGCTGCTGGCTGGAGCCCAGGTACCATCAAATACTTAGAGCCAGTGAGCAGAACTCATGTGATATTCATGATGTTGATGTGAGATTATATATTGGGCTCCTGATTTTGGCATGTGTGTATCTGCAGCTTTTGGAGCGATCGCTGTGGATGACTGAGGAGCTCCAGGGACTCGCTGCCACATGCAGTAAAATATATCAGGAGAAGTAGAGGAAACAGAATAATCTGACCCCAACACAAAGTCCACATCAGACAGACAATCTAAAAATACCAACGTCCTGAGTTTCTCCGAGGATTTCAGGCTGCAGGAGCTGATCCATAACTGGTTCCAGAGAGTTGCCTCTTCATCTTGCTCCTTAGCCGTCGCAGAACTGAAAAGACCAGATAATGAAACTACAACGAGTTTGATGGTGCCTCGGCTCCAGCCAGGTACACAAACATACTAAATGTTTTTGTTTTCTACACTTTGAAGTTCAGTGAGAAAGTGAAACTGTTTTATTCACATGTCTGAATCACCTTTTGACTTCAATACAAACAGCAGAAGATCTAAAAAAAAATGTTTAGAGTTTCTCACCTGGGCCTCTAATTTAAAAATGACCGATTTTGGTGGTGAAAAGAAAAAATCGCAAATATGACTACTTTTCTACCGTTTTTCAGGCCGTTTTCAGGAACCTTCTGAGTGTCTGCTCTGGAGTGGGTACAGTACTCCGAACGGCCCGGTGGAGCAGCTGAGCGGAACCTCCGGTTAACTCCCGCTGATTGGTTGTAACTCAGTAGAAAACGACATCAGCAGACGTCCAAAACAACTGGCAGCAGTAAAATTAGAAGCAGAATGGAAGCAAAAAAAAAAAAAAAAAAAAAAAGAAAAATGAAAAAGAAGCACCAATCGCTTTTAAAAACTAACTCCTGACACCGGAATTCCTCCACAGCTGTTGGGCAAAACATGGAAATTCTCCCACAGACGTAATTAACGGGGCTTGTCTCACAAAACTCAGAGCTGCTCTCGCCCTCTGAATGGACAGAAAAAAGATGAACTTCTACAAAATAAATGCTTTTAATATTATTAATGTTACTTTGGGTGGTTTTTGGGGCTGATCAGTGACATCACTCACAGCCAAAGCAGTTCTGACTTCTGTAGAAGTTCTGAAAGGACTGGATTTGAATGGAGACACAACAGCTGAGAGGACTGGGACATCCTATCTCCTGGCCAAGTTCCCCATCCCAGGATTGACCCTGGAGTTCTGGTAATGGAAACATGTCTGTTGTGACTCAAACGGCTCCTTTCAGCGTCAGAATAATTTTGAAGGTTAAGCAATCCATGCTGGGAAGTGAAATGTGCAGTTACCAAGAAAAGCAGAGCAAACTAGACTTACACAAGTTTGACTTTTGTGTTTGATAAAAACTGTCTAATCCCAGCGGAGAACCGCATGCAGACACATCCTTGTTTTCACCTCACCACAGAGAGGAGGTCTTGTTTCTCCCCACTCACCAGTGTCGGGTCCCTGTTCAGGATCCTGCTCTGTCTTCTTGTCAGTGATGTCTTTGTGGGACACAAGGAATAGAACCACGTCTCCCTTTTCATTCTTAATGGGTACAATGTCCAGAAGACACCAAAACTTTGTACCTGGAGGGAAAATAAATGAAAAGCTCACAGTAAATGCATGTTTCGTGCATTTAATCACTACAGTGTATCATTCATCCATTCACACACACACATTTACAACAGAATTAGCTAGTCTTAGTTCTCCCATGCCACCTCCTAATGGGGGAAGGTGGTGTGGTGTAAGATGTTTCACTAATAAACACATTTGTTCATCTTTAATTAACACCCCAGAAGATTTGCTTGCCACAATGGAGGAATGTTGGTCCAGCCAAATCAAAAGCTCATCTGTCTTATTTGCCAAAGACCTCGCGCTCCTACTAACGCTGGATGGAAGTGACGGTCTCATTTCCTTGACCTAATCTTTGCTCCTCCTCTAATGTTTCTTCCTAACATGCCTCAGAATTGTTGGTATGACTTTGGGCCTTAATTGTGCCCTGAAGGGAAAAATAACAGCTCTATTTTTGATGACAGTCATGCAGATTATGACGAATGAGCTGATAAGAAGAGCCTTTTCTTCAATGGCCTGACATATTTTATGTGTACTATTTTATTAATGTAAAGGTGCTCCAGAGGCACTAAATGTGACAGAAAACTTGAAAGTCACACCTCAACCAGAAATAGGAAGAACAACAAAATGTACATGCACAAGAAACTGTCTAGCCTCGTCTTTAACGAGAACGACGGCTTGATCAAAGAGGCAGAAATGGGTTCCTCTGACAATTAGCAGTTTCTTAAAATTGTATATTTAATATCATAAAATATTAACCTGATTTTTATGAAACAGTTCATTTATTAATAAGAAACTGCACAGAGAATGAAATCAGACTACGATGAACTTTGATCTCTGACTCATTGTTGCGTTTTTGGCACCCTGAACAAAGCTGTGGCTCAGAGACTGATGCCCAACATGCAGAAGAACTGTGTGAATGAAAGCACACACAGGCTGGATTGCCCTTTTTGAGCAGAACAGGAGGGTAAGCCTGCTAAAGTAGTCTCTCTCCAGCAAAGGCAGAAAGTAACAAATCACCTTTACTTGCATCGCAGTAACTGGCGTGATGTCATTTACTGAATGATGGGTGTCTGAGCACTTATAAAACCCAACAGGAGCTGCAGAAGCTGAAATAAAACAGGCAACCCTCTGGCCATATTTCAGGGACCATGCTGGCTCCAAGTCAAAACAAGGCACCCTTTTTATTATGCAGGGCTTTTGCAGAGGTGCTGACCTCAGCTCTTCCAAAGCAGGAACACTGAGAAATGCTTTTGGAAAAATGGACAAAAGACACATGCACATTTTACTGCTCTCTTGGTTAGTGTGAACATTTTGATGATAGCGGATGTTTCTCAGTACGCATACTCGTCTGCACTTGTGTACTCGTGTCCTTGTGACACGTCATCGACGTTGGCCCAGGTACTGTTACAGCCCTGAGAACGTATCATGGAAAATACGCTCAAAGTTCCAAGATGTGTTCTTACTTCATCCATTTTATTGAGGGCGTGTCAACGCATCCTTCTGCAGACTTAGGCCGGTATCCCATAATGCATTGTGCTACAAGCCCTTACACCCCAAACCGAAAATGGGAGAGGAGAAAGCTTGTGTTTTAGACATACATATAAAGTTGTCTGTTATCATACATGATTGCGTTTAACTTGCTGTATTGTTTAATTTTTTTTATGACTTCTCAAGTTACACCTGCATGACCTGCAATTCTGCTTGTTCTTAACCATGGGTGTGTAGTGCAGGACAGGCCTTAAGGTCAGAGGTCACCTGACATGGAAGTGTCCAGCAAAAGTCTTCTGCCCAGAATATTGTGTGCCTCTTCATACCAAAACAATGACCTTGTTGATCGTCTCTATAAGCTGGCCATCTGGGTATTGGTCACAACAATCTCTTTCCTGTTTATCTGTGCTGGAAGCTACTGTCACGTTGAAGGGTAAGGAGGTGGTTAGGACCCAAGATACTATCAGGTACCATGCTGGCTCCAAGTCAAAACAAGGCACCCTTGGGCAGCAGTAGCTCAGGTGGTAGAGCAGGTTGCCTCATTATCGGAGGGTCATGGGTTCGATTCCAGCTCCCGCCAGGGGTATCCCGCTGTTGTGTCCTTGGGCAAGACACTTAACCCAACTTGCCTGTGTTAGTGGTGGTCAGAGGGGCCGACGGCGCCAAATGGCAGCCTCGCGTCTGTCAGACCTCCTCAGGGCGGCTGTGGCTACAAGTAGCTTACCATCACTAGCAGTGTGTGAATGTGAGAGTGTGTGAAAGCGTCTTTGGGTGTCTAGAAAAGCGCTATATAAGTTCAATGCATTATTATTATTATTATTATACCCCAGATGACACGAGGCAGGAGCATTATAAAAAGTAAATCCTTTTATTAGAATGATGAACAAAAAATCCAAAAAGGGCAGGAAGCCAAAAACAAAAGTCCTGAACAAAAGGAGACCGAAAGCTCACTTAGAGCACAAAACCTGGAGACAAGAACAAAAGCTCACATAGAGCACAAAACAACGCTGACACAAACAATGGACCGACAAGACACTGAGGCCTAGTCCACACGTAGCCGGGTTTTTTAAAAAACGAACAGCCGCTCCTCCAAAAACTTGCATCCACACCACCTCATTTAAAAAAAAACTGTCCGCACGTACCCGGATAAATACGTTGTTAAGGACATGCCAGACCTGTAGGCGGCAGTACGTCCCCCGTTCTTAACCTCGTCCTTCGTCTGTGGTCTTCCGCAAGGAGCAGTAATTCCGCTTGCAAAAACAAACAAGCAAGAAGCGCTTGGACAATTGATAAAGCGAGCGCAGCTCTGAGGGCATCCATGCTGTCGGCTAGTGTAAACACAGGTCGCACATGTGATGTTAGTTTTTTTGTTTTTTTGTCGCGGAAAGTGACGTTGCGGACCTTAAAACTCCGGTTTTGTCTGTCCACACGCAGACACCCAAAACGGAGAAAACACAGATCTTCACTTTGGCTGGAGTTTTTAAAAAGATCCGTTTTCGTGTGAAAAAACTCCATTTTTGTGTGGATGACAGGCCAAAACGTAGAAAAATATCTAAGTTTTGGCAGATCCCCGGCTACGTGTGGACAGGGCCTGAGACAGGGCTTATATACACTGGGGCATGATGGGCTGCAGGTGTGTGGAGAGAGAACCAGGTGAAAGCAATTAACAAATCAGGGAGGAAACTAACATGACCTAAGAATAAAACCTAAAGACAAGAAAAGCAACCACATAACCAATATTCTAAGGGGAAGGAAAACTACAAACACCGGTGGGAAAAAGCACACTAAAGAGACTAATAAAATGAAAAGCTGAAACTATAAAAACTGCAGAGGGGTGACTGGGGAAGACTAAAGGAACACAGGACCTGGGAGAGATATCTGGAGGGCTGAAGACCAGGGGACACATGAGGAACACAAAGAGACACATAAGGGGGATTCTTAGGGGGAAATGGAGCACACAAGGAGACACATTAGGGAGATGCAGACACAGACCATGACAGCTACAAGGTCTTCACCAGAAGATGAGACTTTATCCTTAATAAAATGAATTATTCTGTTTCATAAAATGATTTTTTCACTCTACAGGTTAGAGTCTGTTTTGTCTAGGCAAGGCAGCTTTATTTATAGAGCACATTTCAAACACAGAGGCATTCAATGTGCTTTACAATTAGCAGGACATGATATGAAAACACATAAAAACACAAATTAAAATACACACAGATGGAATTACAGTTTAGAGCTAAAGGAGAAGACAAAGTTACAGCGCAGGTTACAGTGGAGACGACGCAGCATAAGAAACAATTCATTCAAAGGCTGTTGAGTGCATTAAGCCTGATTCATGCTTCTCCGTCAGCTCCAACTGGGACAGACACACACGGATTGATGGAAGCGTTTTGCTTTCATACTTCTCCGTCTCCTGGGGATTGATGCAAAGCAATTGCCCGGCAGGACAGCAGAGGGCGTAGCGCTGTTCTGTGGTATCCTGTCATGTATCGGTCCAAGATAGTGTGTTTATATTGTTTTTTGTATATAAGAGACTTTTTAACAGACAAATTTGTCTCTCATCCTCCTCCACCTCTTCATGCGCTCGCCACCTCTAAACCCACGTTTCCTGTAATTTCTGTCCACAAATAAAACGCTTGCTGTGCATCTTTTCACTCCTCCAGTCACGGGGAATTAAACATTCATGTTTTTAGAGTTTTTTCGCAAGGTATTCTTCAAGCTGCTCCGTGTCTGCCGCTTGTTATCCTCAGCTCTCTTTATGTTTTTGAGGGCACAATGGCGGCGGTGTAGACGACAGCGGCGTCCTGACCAATCACAAGCTTGCATTGTCCGTCTCGACTGACGGATGTTTAGAAAAGAGAGTTCGACTCTGTCCGTTCTTGCGGAGCTCTCCGGCAGGCCCGCAAAGACGTTTCATGTCTCCACACTGACGCAGACGGAGAAGCATGAATCAGGCTTTAGGGTTTTAGTTTAGTTTTAAACAACACTAGGGTTGGGGCAGATCTGAGGTCATGGGGAAGCTGATTTCATATGTAAGCAGCATAGTAACTAAATGCATCTCCACCATGTTTGGCTCTGACCCGAGGTTCTACCAGCTGATAGTTTCCAAGGGATCTCAGAGCCCTATTGGGTGTATATACAGGAATGAGATCAGACATGTATTTTGGTCCCATGCCTTTGAGTGATTCATAAACTAATAGGGGCACTTTGAAATCTCTTCTGTAGTTTACTGGTAACCAGTGTAGGGATCTAAGAACAGGAGTGATGTGCTCCGTTCTCTTGTTAAGACACTTGCAGCAGCATTCTGAACATGCTGCAGTTGCTTCACAGTTAGGAGACCATTGCAATAGTCCAGCTGACTAGAAATAAAAGCATGAATACGTTTCTCTAGATCTTGTCTGGACATGAGACCTTTTGCTATTTGATGAAGGTGATTAAACGCTGATTTGGTTATAGCCTTAATATGTCCAGAGAAGCTCAGGTCGTAGTCAATAATAACCAAGATTTCTAATCTGGGGTT